ATATATTAACCGATTTGGAAGATGTATAGGGAATATGAATATATTAACCCTGCTTTTGAGTCTGCCATAATCGGATAAAAATATGAGAAGCTTTGTTACCTCTTCAAGCTCTCTGACACTAGCGGGGTCGGTTTGATCAAGTTCTTTGTTCAGAATGTCCGCGGCTTTTGACTCAAACTCCGCTGTCTGACGCAATACTTCTTTAACTGCTGAGCCTGTACAAAACATACAACAAATAAACGTCAAGTAACTTCATGAATTTTTTTTAGTTGCTAACACCTAAAAAAGAATTCCTACACCACAAGTCTCAATGAAAAGAAAACGTAAAAAAACGTGTCAGTTGAAAATTATAGACTTAGGTGTTAGGTTAAAAAACTTTTTAAAATCAAAATTATTTAATACCCAATAAGTAAAATTCCAATGGAAGCTATGATAAACTTCGTTGAAATTACACAATTAAAAATTAATTCTTTCTCTAAGTGCTTCGGTGGCTCTGGGCAGGAGAGGATTGACAAATTCTGAAAACATTTATGGTCTCTTACTCGAATGGGACCCGTCGACGACTGAATTATCATGCCTCTCCTCTTTCCATAGAGGAGACCAGAATCTAACAACGATATAAATTGCTATATAACTAAAACATCTCTAACCACTTTTAAGTTCTAATGCTGTTAAACTCACCTTCAGGTAAGACGCAGGCTAGACCATCGATTTCGGCAGCGAACAAAGTTAACTCATGGATAGTGAGCCTGTATTTGGGGTCGTGGTGTCTGGTCCGGGTGCGCATTTTGTTCAAATCCAGCTGTTGTATCACTGAAGCGCATTTCTCGGCGTCTTCTATTGCCGTTTCTAGAGCTCGCACTAGCTCGGTTTTGTGCATCTGTTCGGGACGAAAACAAAATTAAATTATTTCACACGTTTTATTGAAAATATGGTTTAACAACCAGTCTACTGAAGGCTGGTGAAGAAATCGGTGCCGCGAACGAGACACGATACGATATCGCGATACGATCACGAAGGACGCTAACCTTGAGATCGTGAGCTCTCTTCAAGTGCGCTCTCAAGCCGTCCAGGTCGCAGGTCTTGGGCGTGTCCGGGTCCAGGGCGTTCTGCACGGCCTCGGCCCACTCGCGGAACTGATCGGACTTCTTCTTCAGCTTCTCCAGCATGGCCGGCAACTCGTCCAGGGTGTAGCGGTACCTGCGGGCACAGGCGCGTCGGCGGTTGAAGATCGACATCGCAAGGCCGCCGCGGAGGCGCAGACGCGGCGGTTCGCTCACCGCAGCTTGTGCTTGACGGGCGCGCAGGCGCAGAGCTCGGCGTGGTGGCGCAGGCACGCCACGTGCGGCGTGCAGGGGCACGTGACGCACGACAGGAAGCACGTGGTCTTGCACAGCTGGCACTGGCGCTCGTCGTCGGGCAGCAGCTCGAACGCCTCGCGCTCGGCCTCCGTCACGCCCTGCGAACGACCCCTTCGGTTCAGTCCGGCGCGGAACGAACTCGGGCGGAGAAGCGGAGAAGCGAAGAAGCGAAGAAGCACCGACCCAGTCGAGCAGCGCCTTGCGCAGCTTGCGCTCGTCGTGCAGCATGGCGCGCAGGTCGCGGTAGGCGGCCAGCGCCACGCTCAGCGACAGCGCGTCGGCCGACAGCGCCATCTTGCACACCAGCTCGTCGTGCGAGAACACGCAGTAGCGCCGCAGCGTCGAGTAGTGCAGGATGCACTCGCGGCCCATGCGCAGCTGCAACGCCAACGACATTGCACACCCGTCCCGTCAGACCGGACGCCTTTTTGATCGTTAGCTCCTACATCGACTATTGCTACTTGTGCAAGTGTACAGCAAAAATGCTATCAAAATATTTTTTCCAAAATTTTGAAGTGAATTAGTTATGAAAAATAGTAATGAAATTTGTCAATACATTATTTACAAATTATTAATACAAAATGAAAATTTTAAATATATTACAAAATGTTCAAAATCGACCACTTGCACGTTTTTACACGACTACTAAATTCAATGTTATAGTTGTTCGAATGTTTGCCCGAGACACGTTTTTTGTGATTCTATTTAAAGTGTTATGCAGTGACACATCAAAAACCCACATACCCAGTCGGCCGGTGTGAAGTTCACGGCCTCCGCAAAATTGTAGCCCTGGTTGAAGCCGGCGTGGTACGCGCGAGGGAACGTGATTACGAACTCGCCCGCGTGCTGATCCGTTCTACACAGCGACAAGAAACTTAGTGGCTTTCAGGTTATTAATTTTTTTATCGACCTTACTGCTAAGGTAGAATATCGTACCTGTACACTGGCACCCCGGCCTTCATGAGTATATTAGGGTTCATGATGGTGACGAGCTGATGAAGAAGATCTGGCTGAAGATGGAACAGTTCGGGGGCTTCGGCCTTCATCGCCGCTTCGAACTGCTCTGCTTTTGACCCTGGGACTCCATACCTGATACAATAAATTTCGCGATTTTCTCAATAAAAAATGGGCAATGTTGTTAACCTTGAAGCACACCTATGAAAAACAGTCAGATTTTGAATAACCCAAATTATACCATTCGAAAAACACATTGCCAGTTTGCATAATAAAAGATTAAACAAGTCACCCGGTGTAAAATAATGGAACGTAAACAAACACAAAAAAACCGGTGATATACTATTAGTCGTCACAATGTAAAAGGCCCAATATGACAGCTAAGAAAGACGATGGTATGTAACTTTGAATGCAATCAAAGAAACAGAAAAAAATACATATTTTTTTGTGAAACATAACATAATTATGTTAGACCATATTTCAAGTATTATTTTACCGAGACAATTCAATTTCACTTTAAAAAAATGTTTTTGATTTTCAATTTTGATAGAGATGTTAAAATTGGCAATATGATTGAAAATCAAATAATTATACATACAAGTGATACTTTCTCAAATGATGATTATGGCTCATCCTGTAATGAAAGTGAATAAAAATTTAAACTATGGGGTTGTTTATTACTTTGTTTCCCAATTTTGTTATTTAACTACAAGCTGTCCTCGTGAACACTGTTAATATATCTTCACTACAATAACAACCACAGGTTGTCGTTGTGACCATTTAACATACTTATTATTTATATTAAAGTCTATATTGCTTCATAAATGTTAATTGTTCTATCTGGAACTGAAAACCAATGATCCTAAAAATATAATAAACGATCATAGACTCGCAAAATTTGTAATCTATTTCTCGGGAGAATTGTTGTGGTTACCGATATGTTTAGTTCACAACCCTATTTACGTTACGACGACGAGTGTCAAAACGTGCCTCTTATTTTGTGACGACTATAACGAGTAAACTAACCGATTATGAATTGAGATCGATGATTAGAATCCCTGTGGTGGCATGTACCTATTTATGACTTTAATTTCTAAATTATGTATATTGTTTACTGTTTAGTTGCTCTCGATAAAGGTAAAGGAAAATACCGTGAAGAAAACTTGCATGTCGAAGAATGTTCACAACCTTTGTGTTGTATGTGAAGGTGCCTTTAAATATTATAATAATGTGGGTAGCTGGTGGTGGTGCTCAAATATATCAGTCATTGTTAACACGTCTACAGTGTATTATTGAATAAGCCCTTTCCAAATACTACACTTTGGAAAACTTGTTCAATTCCCAACCCCCTTTTTAGGGGAGACCCGTGTCCTGCAGTAAGACGTACGATGGGTTCACGAAGATGAAACGACCACAGAACCGCTGACGTTTCAACTAATCTGAAAGATTACAGCATCATCATATAAACTTACCACGTCTTCGGTTCTCCCCAATGCAGGTAGTTTATAGAGTAGCTCCAGTGATCCTCGTTGTGCCAGCAGAACGTCGCGAAGCACATGCCTACATACAGCCATGGCACCTGAAATAACGTACGTGTTAAAGCTACAGAGTTAGATTAGCGAAGATAAAGATAACCCTACAAGGTCTGTCAGATTACATTACATTACGATTGCGGAAATCAGATATTCTACACATTCGCCAGTTAATTTCACAAGTGGTAAGTGGTTGCTAATTGTATCATCGCGACCTTTGATGCGAAAACCGCGTCCACGATCAGTGGAAGACCAAAGTGGCCGAGGTGCTACCTTCATGCCCGAAATGTCTGCGTTGATGTGTCCGAGCACGGAGCCCTCCAGCACGGGTAGGTTGTTCAAGTTCCAGCTGGACTCGGCGTACTGTTGCTCGCCGGGGTACAGGTGCGCGCTCGACTTGGTCGGGAACCCTGTCGCACAATAAATCCGTTCTTTCCAACTCAATTCTTATATATTTAAGCTATTTGGCATATTGAATAAATATATTACACGTAGTACTAGGCAGTTTTACATTCTTTTTATTCTCTAAAAGTACGGACGTCCAATTAGAGTTTATTGTTTATTTATATTCCACGTAGAAAACATCTAATTTAAACTTTTAATCTTAGCTTGTCATGTTATGCACCACCTGTTAATTATTCTGAATCCTGCTTTTCGGTTGACTGGTAGAGAATACTTAATGGTATTAAGGCCCGCCGTTTGTACTGTTGTGTGAAATTAAGTTTAAATACATAAATAAAACATTACACGTTTAATAATAAAATATTTAAGCTTAATAAGTGCCTGCACATTTAAGGAACATTACAGCATGGAATTTCACCAATATACCGCCACCATAAAACATAAGTTGGCAAGTCCCATGTGCCTGTAATTTCACCAACACTCTTACCCTTTAAAACCAGAACGCAGTAATGCTCACATTACTGCTCGGCGGCAAAAATAGGTAAGGTGGCCGTACTTCCCTGGACGAACTCTTTCACAAGACGCAATACTGCTACTTTCGATATACTATCCTGTTCGAAAGTGTAAATATGTATGTAAAGTCTTACCAGAGCCATGGTCCATGGAGTGCAGGTCGGCGCCGTACTCGACGGTGACGTCCTCGTCAATCGATGAAACAATTCGCCAGAACTCTTTCTCGACGGTTGATGTCGGCACCATCTAAGATCAAAAATAGCAGGTAACTATTGTGTATCGAAAACAGTGAAGTCGCTTTTCAATCTGCTGTGGGCACATTCTGTACGATTACTATCTCTTTTTTCTCCGATGGTTGATATTTATGTTTATGTACTGTTATCAAATATTTAATTATTTTGTTTATTTTAAGGTATTACACAGGTATCTGTAGGGCTAGCACGATAAGACGAGAGTTGCGCGAGAGCGACATAAAATGCAAGATGTCTATGAGAGAGTAGCAGTATCTCGTGCTTTATGTCGCACTCGCGCTAGTCGCGCCCTATCGTCCTAGCCCTAATTGTTTGCATATCATTATGATATAAGCATAAATTACGCGCTCTGATCAGCTATTATTATTTTTTAAATTGTTACCCCGAGGTTGCCTGGAAGAGATTATTGTTTAGCAATAATGTGGGATATAATTCTTCAATTCTTTTTTCTTTTGTTTATTTTTGTACTTGTTCTTGTGTGCAACAAAAAATATTTGTATTGTATAAATAAATTAGTTGAATGAATTACAAAGGACTTTTACTTGATTTTTTTACAACTAGTTTCTTATAAAAATGGGCGATAGACTGCGAACATTTTAAAAGTAAACTTATTTCGAGTATTTCTTTTTTAAAGTTGTTTGACAACGAAAGCTAACTGCAATGTAGCTGAACATCACCCTTACAGTGGAGAGTTAAATATACTTACGTGTACAGGCATGTTAAAGTAGTCTGATTTGAACTGATCGGCCATCTCCCCGAACTGCTGCAGCGTGTATTCGCGGCTGGCCTGCTCGAAGCCGAACGCCTCGGTCGGCTTCGACACCTGCGTCGGAAGATTCGCATTACGGGCAAGAGTCAAAGTTTCAAAGTCCATTGCGTACGCGACAGTGTTAGCATCGGCTCGTGCAGCAGCGTGCGCTCCACGTCGAAGCGAGTTAACTGTGTGTAAGGAAATCGGTACGCGACACACACAAATAACGGGACTTGAGCGAATACGCGGCGCTACCTCCTCGGCGATGCAGACCGGGCAGCGCCAGTCCCCCTTGGGCACGTCGTGCAGCGGCGGCAGCAGGCAGAAGGTGTGGTAGGAGTCGTCGCAGCCGTCGCACAGCAGCATCTGCTCCTCGATGTCGCCGCGCCCGCACACGCGGCACATGTACTTCGCCAGCTGCACACGGCGCGACACGGACACGTTACACACAGTAGCGTCATTAGCTTTTTATATATCACTATTCATATGTTGATTTGTTTACCCGTAGCGCTCATTAATTACAACCAAAATTCGTTTTAACAAATTCGCAACTGGGTTCCGTTTCAATCTATTCAACACGCTGTGCGTTCGTAATGAATAATTATCTTGTAATTTTTTTGGCGTTTCGTAGTTCATTGTCAATTTGTTTATATAATAATATATATATCGATACATGTGTTTTTACGGTTTTTAAGAGTAACAATTAATGAACGCGTCAGCGGTGTCAGTAAAGAACGAGCGTCGCGTTTTCGTCTCACCGCGACGCCAACAACCCAAGAGAACTGACCGGGTCGTGCGGCTCGCGCTGCAGCGGGTGCAGCGGCAGCAGCGGGTGCAGCGGGTGCAGCGGGTGCGGCGGCGACGCGGCCGCCTCGGGCGCGGGCGTCACGGACACCGTCATGTTGGACATGCGGTGCTCGCGCAGCCGCGTGGAGCGCGTGACGCGCGCGCGCGAGCCGCAGCTGCCCGCCGCCGACATCCACTTGTTCTCGCGCGGGCCTGCAACACGCACACGCACGCGTCCCTCGCCGCCCGGCCCACGCCCGAGCCCCGACCCCAAGCACCGAGGACACTCACTGCGCCGCGTCTCGGGGCTCTCCTCCTTCACCTTCACCGGCGTCTTCTCGGGGTCGGCCAGGGCGCCCTCGGCGTGGCTGCCCTCGGCGGCGGGCTCGGGCTCCGCCGGCTTGTAGCGCCGCAGGGGCGGCGGCGTGGCCGCGGGGGGGCACTTCGACGCCGACCGGCTGCGCGTCGTGGTGGCCTTCTCGGGCGTCTGCTCGCCTTTTACCTCGATTTTCTGTTGGAGTTACGCGCGCCTCCTTTTATTAGTGAGCGAAAACGGCGATTCCTTCACGATCACTAGGACCCTCGCTCGTAATGTAGATTACAAACGAGCAATGAAAAGTACAAAAATTATTAAATAACGTTTTGATACGATACGTCTAACAACTAGGACTTGGTCGTAAACAAGAACGTCTCCTACCGTCTCCTTGCTGTCTCCGATGGCACCGTTGCTCTTGAAAACGTCGTAAGGATAAAGGATGCGCTCGTAGTGGCTCTTCAGAATGGAGCCGATGCCTTTGCCTTGCGGGTGGCCCATGCGCCGCGCGATCTTCGACCACTTGCGCTCCGATGTGCATACATCGAAACCACCTGGACAAACATCCTATTATGGGTATCCAATAGACACAAATTATATCATATCTACTGGAAAAGTATATAGCACCTCTAAGGACCTTAGTAACGGCCATCGCTTACGCGAAGATTATAATTTCAATTTCTGAACTCCAATTATTCTACTTAAAAGTGATACTGTCATCGTGTCGCGAAGCACCCTATTACGATGCAGAGACCGAACATTTGCAACACAGTTGCAAAATCAAAAATTACAAACATGGAAGTAAGTAAGTAAAAACAAACTTAATACATACCTGCTTCTCTGACAATCTTGTGCAAGGCATATAAGTCGAGCGGCTTACGCTCCACTGTCGGGATTTTCAGCACGGAGCCTTGTAACTCCCAAAACTTGATGATCTGGTCTAGGAAGTTTAACTTCACCCGGGTTATTGCCTGTAGTAGTCATGAAGAAATTACAATTAAGATGCTGTAGTACATGCTGAAATCAACTCAAAAAAGCAAAAACAGCTAGATTCACCTATACATAAATGTCTAGTCTTTAATTTAGGACACCAAATAATGAATCTATGAACAGAGTACCATATTTACAACCATATAATTTTGACCCTTTTGAACTTTCTGTGAATCATATTTCCAATGAAGCTATGTGATTTTGACAGAGCACAAAATACACGAAGTAGATTAATTAAATTTTACATAATATCCAGAAAAAGTAACCACATATAACTTACCTCCAATTCATTTAACCGTTGAATCCGAGGAGTGAACCTGAGACGATCCACATCCACAGCAAAGGGTGGTTGCCAGTGCTGTAACAATTTACTATTCAGTAAACAACTAATACAACATGTTGTAGCTATGACAGATGTGACAAGTTCGAGAGCCACGTGTGAATTGGTAAGACCATGTGAAACAATTATCTATTTATTCAACCATTTGAGCTAACAATAAACCAAAAATAATTTATTATCAGAAACTTCTGAGCATTCATAATTTAAAAAATCCTATATGCTGTACTACATTTAATGTTAAAAAGAACAACCCTCCCTAACTTATAAGCATGGTAGAATGTAAATTTTACATTGAACTGTAACTTTATATCTATATGTTAACATATCTGTATGTTTGTCCCATACGCATTTAATTATTGTTCATATTATTGTTATAAAACTTTCGTGAGTTGTTGTGCTCATGTCAGTTAAAAGTTTATAAAATTATAGTTTCCACTGCTGGGTATGGGTCTCATTTAAGAGAAGGTTTAAGCTTAAACGGTAGCTACCTTTTCAGAGCTACGAGACAAACAGTTCAGCTGGACACAGCTAGTGTTGTCATGATGTATTAATTACGGAATTGTTAATTTTTAATCCAATAAAATTACCTTTTTATTTACTTTAATATAATATTTAACTTATTCATAACTGATTATTGTATTACTTCAAAAAACTGATGAAATTGTACAAATTCTGCCATAAGAAAATGGACCACGTGTTTTATTTAATCTTTTATTTAATCATATTATCTTTACAATTGCAATCTTCTGTGACGAAAAACTATAAACAAACTCGGGATCTCTATCAGTCAAGAACTTTCAAACAATGTCATGGTAAACAGAGAGAAGACTGTCTTACAACGACAAGCTTAGCAGGTGTATATTGCAGTTGTACAGTAAACATTTATTATCTAGTGGAGTAATTTTAATATAATTTTTTTAAGTTTTATTATTGCTTATTTTTACTCTTCTGTTATCCTCTAGACTGTGGTTGAGTAAAACATGATAGCGCATAGACAATAACATATTCCACCAAGGGAAACTTTTTAACTTCTACAAACTGTGGATATTTGCAAAAGGCATAATCCTGTAACCTTTATGCACAATTAACTTGTAATATGATGAAATACATAAAACTATCCATCTCTCCACATGGAAAAGAATTACGACAAATGACAAACACCTACTACTACAAACCTATACTTTTCATAACAACAGTAGTCAGTAAGATAGATAATAGATTGTTATTATATTAAAAAATCTGTAAAGCAAGGAAGGTATAGAAATTAATTAAAGAAAGAAATACATAAATTATTATAAACTAATCACAATGCACATTCTTTGTTAGCATAGAACAGTGTGCTTATGGTAATTATAGGATATTTTTGTACACTGAAACACAATATATAAAAAATTTATACATCTTACCTACTTTGTAATGTTAACAAGTTTGGTGTGAACCAAATGATCTTATACCATGAGAAATATTTGGATTTGTTATGTGCTGACTAAAACTGAGGATTTCCAATTAACTGATATCAGATAGTTTGAGAACTATCTGGTTATGGATTGAATCAAATTAATAACAGATAATCACATACTCAAGCTTCATCAATAATTCAAAATATGAAATGAGTTTTAAACATCTACACTAAAAGATAGTTTCTATGGTACAATCCAGTTCTGTACTGCATGAATAATAAAGAACTCATTTTTTTAAAGACAATATGAGCATTGATGTCCGAAGTCAATACCAGAACCAGTTCCACCTCCAGCAAATCAGAGTTCAAAATTAAATTAATTACAATTACACTTCACATTGGTAAGATTGAAGCAATCACACTCGCTTTATTAGTATCAAATGTCACTGGGGCCGAACAGTTACCATGCTGGCCTGCCACACAAAGGTCCCGGGTTCAATTCCTGGGCTGAGCGGATTTGTATGGCCTACATTCATTTGTCTCGTGAGTTCGGGTCTAATTCCTGGTTGTCTAAGTGTGTGTACCTGGTACCTACGATACAGTTCCCAAGTGCGGGGCTATGAGTGTAATGCGTTATTATATATTATTATTTCAAGGACAATATTGTGAGAAAACTTACAAATGGGAATTGCTCATAAAACAATTTTAAAGTGAATTCCAACTGGTGTAATAGTGGATCTTTATTGTGAGCTGCAGTTATTTTTATCATATAGGATGATTTAATACAAAACCATTGAACTCAAAACACATAAAAACATTTATGTTATTGCTTCTGACACAGCATTTGCACTATCTCTACAACTCAGGATCCCAACCTTCTCTAGATAGTCTATCAGAGATCAAACACAATACAAAATAAACAAATAAAAGCACAAACAAACTTCATCTGCGCAAAAGTCTACAACATTCACAGTCCAGTCATAATTTCTAATAGTGTTTAACCTATGGTGCAAATAAAGGTGTGTTATGCTTAAGGCCAAAGTCTGCATATCAGTGACCCTGACAGATGACACAATCTCAAAACAATTAATATATTGTTCAAAAGCTGGTATTTACAATATATTCCTATTTTAAGGTATATATAATGGATATTGGTGCAACATTTGTCAAATTGTTAGTTCTCAAAGGTGCATTGCTTTGTTAGCATCAATTCACTTTACATTAGAATCACACACAACATGTTGCGAGCACTCAGTATAGGCATCAAGTAATTCAATAAAAGATAATTATCATTGCCTTTATCTACATGTGCTAGTATCTTTAGAACTATTAGGTATTATCAAAACAGATATTAGCATATTACTCAATGGTACTTCTACCAAAACTTGCACAAGTTTGTAACTTTCTACAAATTTTTTATTTCATGTTTTATATTATTTTTTCTATTAAAATGACAAATATATTGAACTCTTGAAAAAAATCTGGTGGTCGTTATTAATTTTGATCACAGTTTTGTTACAGAAATAAGCGACAGCAAGGACTTTTACAACTTTCTGCCATAATTTGTTGATATACTTTTGTATATTTACTCATTTAGAAAACAATTTCATACCAAAGAGGATATAAACATTAATAAACTTCAAAAATGTAATGAAATGTTCCCCAAACATAATAAACAGTTACAAACAGTACAATTTTTGATGGTATTGCCTGTAATTATACATATTTTAAGGAATTAAAAAATATATTGAATGGTTATTATGGAATTATGTGTAATGTTGTAATTTTAATTGTGCTTTTTGGTTATAAAACTGTTACGCAATATTGTGATCTTAAAACCATTATAGGGAACCAATTAAGTAAAAATGTAAGAAAAAATGTATAATAGAAGATAATAATCAATTGTATAAAGGTAATGAAGAATTCAATTTTTGATAGTATAAATATTATCCTCATGGCAAACTATTTATTTTAGTCTATGAACTAGGAAAATATACGTAAAATGGTGGTCATAATATGATATAGTGTATGTAAAAGTACAAAGTAGGCTGTACATACAAATAAGTAGGTATGTATGTATGTGATTATTCAGACAGGTAGTTAATATGCTTATGCATAAAAAGTGCCAAGTAACACACCAATTTCTTGTATAAATCAAAACAAAATAATGAAAAATTATGTGATTCTACCAAACAGGGTGGTTATTAAAGATGTACGTTGCAAAAAAGTCACGACAGTTCTTTTTTTAACCAAACCATCGTAGGCAAGAAGCACGACACAAAATGGCAACCTGATTCAACTTACAATATGCAATTGCATTTTGGGCCTGTACAATGCACTTTTGGCCACTATGTTGCGATCACGCGATAAATCGACGCGTATTTACGGTAAATTTGACAAGAAATCATCATTAATTTTGCTGTCAGCCCAGAAATCGCAAGCTAATATGGTTGCATCACAAGACAATAACCTACGCTTTTTAGGGTTATAAACCAAACAAAAACCACTAATTTCAATAAGAAAACGTAAAACTACAGCGTAAACGGTAAATCTGATTGTTTTATAACAAAGAAAATTACTTACGGCTGGCGGTTTGATCTTGCATATCCCCGATTTCTCGGCGATAGGTCGAATTTTACTGATGTACGCAAGGGGGTCCAGGAATTCTTCCGGCGTTGGCTCGAAGACAGGAGCCTCCGGGGGCACGGTAAATGAAAAGTTGTCTGGCTTCATGGGGGACGCCGAGTCCCCCATACTGACTTCGACATTAGCTTCGTCACATTTTCCCATTTTTGAGAAAAACTGCAGTTCTCACTAATGCAACTTTAATCACCACTTTAACATTATCCTACGTTAAGGTATGAATAACGCACGACCACATAAGAATAGTATCATGAAAATTTGTCTTTCCATAAGGATTGCAACAAGATAATTGAAATTATCACCAACAAATAACACAATCCACTTGCACGTCCGCCATGCGAAATTGAACTTTCGAAACTTCGGTGCTGCCATGGAAAATAAAATATTTACATGACATGTGCATTTACAAAGCCAAATCAAGCAGTTTCACAAACGTAAATTAAAGGAATGTGCACAATCTTGAACATTCCCCTGATTCACATGTTTTTAGAGAGCAACAGAAAAGGCAGCATCAAGGCCCCTATTTAGATGTCTTGTGGTTAAATGTTGAAATTGACAATTTTCTGGAATACATATACACAACGAAAAATAACTGTAATTAAATATTTTAATCCTGAATAAAATATTAATCTTAATTGAAGAAACTTATTTAATTTAATTGAAGTATTTTAAACACTTGACTTAATCAAAAACTTTAATAGCAGTTTCATTTCATGTTATATCCAAATATTATTATAATATACTGATAAATTAGATTAACCTTCAAAAAATCAATTTATTTTATTCTAGAAAAATATTTGATAACAAGAAATAATAAATAGGGGGAAATAATAATAACAACGATATTTATTTTCAGCATACTTGAAGTCTTTGTACGGTAGCAATACTGCCGTGCTTACATTAATATCAGTGTATATTTGAAGTACATAAAGACTTAGGGTCGTATTCTAGAACTCTACTCAATGCTCAAGTCAGGATTTGAGCAGACTTGAGTATGATTTCAAGCATTGGAAATACGCCCCTAATGGCAAGGACTTGGGTATGATTTTTAATGCTTTGAATCATACTCAAATCCTGACTTGAGCATTGAGTAGAGTTCTAGAATACGACGTTAACTCTCTCTCACTGTGACTCAACACGAATTTCATCGTTTTCATTTCATTTCAGCGCGGTGGCCGCGTGCATCTCACTGTCATGGTAAAGAGCACTCTATTCATTTAGCTTTTACGTTTTAACATAAATGAGCATCACGGGCGCGCCGGCGGGTCTGGCTTGTTTTCGGTCGACGCGGCGACCGCGCAGGAGCCGGCCGGAGGCCACGCGGCTACCGAGCGGTTGCATTATTCAGAGGAATTTAAATGTTATTGCCTAGTAAATAGAATTCAGATTCGCCATTAATGAGTAGTAGGGCGGTCGCCGCGCGGCGGCCGAAAACTTTCGTGTCGTGCAACTGAGCGCATAGTCTTCTTATCGTAAATACGGCAGAACATTAAATTATGTCAAAAACAAACATTAACGCGTGAAACACACAGATAGCGGGTGTGGTTCGGACGCGTGTCGGATCGGGACAACGGCGGATCTTACTCCGTGTATTTATATAGGCGACAACGCACAGAGCGCGAGCGCAGGACAAGCGCACGTGCCCGCGTTTGGTGTTTCACGCTCAAAGAAAACAATAGTAATTTAAATTCCGATTACTACTGCATCGTTTATTTCATTCTTGAAAAATCATTGTTATAGTAAAATACAAGCCCAAATTTACTTGTATTCGAAAAATGTAATAATTTATTTGATACTCTAATCATTTTTTAAATTTTCGTATTAAATTTTTTGGAAAAACGCTAACGTTATTGTTGTTTTCAAACGCACTTTTTGCTATATTCATCAACATTTTTTTTGTTTTATTAAGCAAGCTGTTGGCCCGAGTAAATAGACAAAATGCATTTGCGTGGTTTTATAATGGCAACAAAACAAACCAGGTTATCAGGGTTACAACATTTTCTCGTTACAATAATACTTATGCTCTAAGCCAGCCTTTCCCAAAGTGGGCGATAACGCCCCCTTGTGAGCGGTTCAGGCCTAAAGGAAGGCGGTAAGAGATCCAGAAAAAAAATGGGGGTGTTGTGTAGGAAGTCTCCTAGACACCGACTGAGCTCTCGATTCTCGACTACAACTTGTGAACATCAACTAATATTAATTAAGAGATTGCTCAAACTAACTTGTTTCGATATTTCTCTCCATGTAGTTCATATATCTGTCCTGTTTTATTAAATAAATAAAATAAAAATCATTTCAACCGGTCGCTTTGTTTCGAAATGAAAGTAGACACAAACAAACAAATAAAAGGGCAACAGACACAGTTTCGCATTTTAATAGTCATTAGTATTCCTAAATAGGTAATTTTCGTAGATAATAGACCGCGGGCAATCATGTTTTAACAAGTTTTTGTTAAATAACCCGTGCATTCCTGTATCAATCGGCTGGTTCATAGAATTCTTGGTTTTACTTGTTGAGTACGATTGAACGTCGAATGAGATAAACGAGTTTATGCATGATTGTCTTATTCCTGTCGGTGCGTGCTGCTTATGCAATCCTATATAAACAACGTAATATTTATTTTATTTTCATTTGCGGTTTCGCGCGTAATAGGTAACCAGTAGATATTTATGTACAACACTTAGTACGTATTTCTCAAAACAAAACAATGTCGGAAGTAAAAAAGAAGAGACGGCAATACTGTGCGGAATATATTAAATTCGGATTCATTAAAAATCCCACAAACCCATCGTCACCCTTGTGCCTTCTATGTCTAAAAACATTTCATTAAGGAATAGATATCTAATATTGTGAGATATTGAAGCGAAATGGCATAAAAAGAATACACGAGCGATTAGCAGGATTATTATTATTTTTTGTACAATTCCAGCCAATTGATATATTTGTTGTACAACTGATTGCCCAATGCCAACTCATAATTAATTTTATTTTTATACCAAAACACTGCAAAGATATGAAATTAGTATCGTTGTCCTTAATTAAATCATGGAGTCAAAATGTACAATATCGATGACGCAATAAGCGTTTAGTATAGCAACATTTTAATTAAGAGTAGTGCAGAACATATCTATAAAAAAAACGAACCGAGCTTCGGAAACGCTCACACCCGAACACAATCGATGAGCACATCCGTCATCCGCCGCCATTTGCGAAAGAAAGGCCGATCGCTGCTCTGCAGCGCGAGTGTCATCGGTTTGATTATGACGAGTGTGTAATTTGTTATTTACTGTATAACTGTGAACTCTGTGTCGACATTAGATCAGTTAAAATGATTGTGAGATTTTGGAGCGTTTTGTGCGTCGGAATTTTGGTGACTTCTGTGCAGAGCGTGCACGGAAACAACGACAATGAAGGTACAAAAATATCAAAATTTTTCATGTGTATCTATTTACTTTGTTATTTTGTGCGTATTTGTGTGTGTTTTGTAATTACCTATTAGTCAAATTTTGCTATATAGACTAAATTGTTAAATAAAATCTTAATTTAGTTTGGTGTGTTTCATAAAAGTCCAAATTTGTAGTAGTTAAAAAAATTATCAACCAGGTTCCCTGGTGTCCTATCTTTGGAAGAGCTTCTCTAGGGTCGGGAAAGTTTCTTAAACGTGGTTGTATTGGGTCGCCTATGGTCGCGTGTGGGTGTCGCAGGAACCGGCCTGACCACTTCTTGAGTTGCATGGTGCACACATTCGTACTGTGACCTGCCGCCGACCGAAGCTCTGCTCGTGGGTGTGCGGCGCTTTTTGCCGTTGATTCATTCATTTTATTAGAATTGCCTATTGTTCTCCTTTAAGAATAACCAGAAAGCTATCAAGAGGTAGTTTGTCTGTGTCCTTGGTGTTAAATTGAAGACACTTTGGAATAACACTTTTCAAATACAAATCAAGTACACTTACAATCATCATTCCTTTAGGCTTTTTAGAAGTTATGTTTTTTATATTCTGAATGCCTAGAATTCCTAAATATAAGACATTTAATACTGAATCCCGCATACTTCATGGTTATGGAGCTCATAACATCATTGAATCTAATTACATTGTGAACTATTTGATTGATTTATATAAATCAATCAATCAAATGATTTATATAACAAGAGATATTTCTTGTTATAATTAAACATTTTGGAACTACAAAAAGGTTTCAAGAATTAGGTCAAAGGTTTGGAATGTGACTAAATCCCTCTTGACTATATACTATGTTAGAGCTATATTTAGCAAGTGGCTGTTTATCGCTTTAAAAGCCAGAATTAAAACTAAACACTACTTTCATACCTGTCTGAATGAAGCTAGACAAATATTCAATTTTTTTTAAATATTGTGCATTTAATCTGCTAAGCTGTATGTTACGTGATTGTAGTTTATTACAGTAAATCCATAGCTTGTAGTTATACCTCCTGAAACAAATGGTACACTTACCCTAAAAATTGAGGTAAGTTAACTGCACATTAGCTTTGGGCATTGTTTTAATGTATCAAAGAAAATGTATGAAACAAAATATCACACATCTTTACCACCTTTCTTCACACTTGGAAACAGGAAAACCTTAATAAGAGTTCAATTATATAGTACATGTGAATTGGACGGCAGTGCATTGGTTACTGTACAACTAACTGGTTAATAGTTTGGCTAAATACATTGTTGCAAGTACAGTTGTGGCCCATAATAGTATACCTGCAAGATACACTATTATTACTTTGGTAGGTTTAAACTACTGTGGTAGAATGTAGATGACAGAAATGAAGAGTGTAATACTTTTGCAGGAAGGTAACTGTATATTTAAGCAAACTTACGTCCAACAGGAGACATCTGGATTATACTAAAATTTTAATGATTGATCTACAATTGCCAGTTTGGTAGGAGGTACTACATTTTCGCCTATTTAGGAGGCATTTGATGACATTCTTCTATGTCAGCTCAGTGCACTCAGTATACATTGTTTTGCTCATGGGGGTAAGTAAGATCTTGTCTTTCCAATTGTTTCCAGGCGAATATTGCGGGAGACAGGTGTTAACTTTATTGATGGACCTACAGGAGTTCGTCAGGGATCTCATCTCGAGCCTCTACTTTACAATGCGTACATGGTTCATGTATGCCCATGTATATTACCCTCCTGACGCATGCTATAGAGTGATGATAAGAAAATTATATACATATAAATTTCGTCTGTTGCGGACTGTGTACCATTGCAACATGATTTAAACAGTCTTCATGAATAATGCACTGGCAACAACATCGCAATTGATATCATCAACTATTGGCGTATCAAATTTACACCTTACGAACGGACATTGGTGTCCTCTTCGATTCCAAAATGTTTGTCTGGGCATAGAGACGCGATTACTGGCAAAGCATAGCTACATAGGGTTTAAAATGCGCATATGTCAATCTTTGAAACGTTTAACTAGCCTTAATAGCCCTTATTACACTTACCTGAATATTTTTTTTACAGTTCGATTTAGTGGCCCTGCTACTTACTGTACACATCAAGTGTTTTGCGTAATATTCACAGAAAATTTGTGTTACATCTAAACTTAAAATTGCAGGCACTGTGATCCATTGATCCTGCAGGAAAGGCGAGTTGTGTTGGATGTGGGTTTATTTGCCGTACATTTTACGAAATCCGCTCTAAAATTTTACTGTCCGCGCCAAAGCCCCCGGATCAGGTGCACACCACTATTTGCTATCCCTTTTCGCCCCACTAATTATGGCATGAAGTGTGCTCACGGAAAATGTACGCGTTTTTATAAATAAATATGCTTGATTCATTTGTGAAATTTAATTTTAACTATTCCAATTAAGTAATAAACATGTGATAAGAAATAATAATTTACGTACTTTTTTGTTTTTTACTTCATTTTATTACAAGTTTATTGTTATTGAAATTAGCGTGTTTATTTAGTACTCAATTATGCGCTTGCTTCGACTATATTACTTCGCATATTAAAAATAGACAAGTAGTTTAGGTTGAATTTGGGCTATGAATGAGAATAATCAGCCAAAATCCTTTTTAATGCAGAATATACGCAATAAGTGTGTACTAATAGGAACTTTTACATAATTATTACTTTTTTTTTATGAAAGTGTATCAAGTAATATAATAATGCCTATTGTTACAAAACAGTTAAGGCATAGTACTGAGGTCTCTGACTCTTGAGCTAAATTCAAATTCAAGCATACCTTTATTTCGTAAGTTTAATAGATTACACTTGAAATCATCAAATTCATTAAAGTCTTAGTGACTGTAGAGATTATACTTTGTAAATTAACATTTAGAAACATTTATCATCTACAATATTTGTTTCAAATACGTATTATTATTAATCGAGACAACTTGAAAGAGCTAAACGGGTCACTCGCTATTATGGATTTTCGTCATCAAAGTGCGCAAAAGCCGAATATAATGGAATAAAGTTTTTCTTTGACTACAGTTTCAAACCTCGTAAATTACAAATTCTTAATATAAACCCGATTCTCATTATGTAAGCGTAAGCTAGGTATGCATAACTTGTGTTAAGAAGCCAGTCTGGTCCCCTAACTATTAGTCTATTTCATAACAAACCAAACTGATTACATTTGTCTTTCTATCTCCTAGTGGCATATCGCTTTGTTTAAAACTTATGTATTGGTTATTGTTTACGATCATTACTTTACGTAAAAAAGAGCACATGCGTCATTGGCGCTACTTACTTACGCTTATTAGAAAGCACCATTTATATGCTAAGCTGACTAATTTCTAATAAAATAAAATTTAAAGTATTCTGAGATATAATAGAAGTCTCCACTCCACGGACAAAAATATTATTCGAAGAATATTTTTCCAGGGATATTATTTATTAACGGAGTAGCTGCGTTAAAATATGCTCAAAGCTTCTAAGACTTAATGAGCGAAATAAATGTACCTTACTTAAAAACCATCAATGTACAATTTAATTTACAAAAAACTTTTTTTAAAATATATAATAGACACACGCTTGGCCACAATCTCACCTGATGTTAAGCGACGATGTGACCCACGATTGGACGCGTTTGTCTAAAAAGTGCCTATTCACTCTAGCCTTGAATAGCCCCAAATTGTATTTTTCGGGAAATACAGGTAAAGCATTCCATTCTTTTGCCGTACGCATCAGAAAGGAGGATGCAAAGCGCTTAGTGCGAATAGGTGGAATATCAACGACATAAGAATGGAGTGCTCCGGACCTTCTAGTCGACCGAAGGAGGAACGGTGAGGGCGGAACCAAATTGGAAAGTTCCTGCGCACATCCCCGCACGTCCATGAAATGTATCCGTTAGAAAACCGACAAGCAGGCTACTTTTCTGCGATGGTCGAGATTTAGAAGCTTCGACTCCACAAGAGAATTATTGTTAATAAGTCTCTTTGCTTTTCGCTCCACCGAGTCCAAGGCAGCTAACTGGTAATGGGCAGAGCCGTCCCAAAGGTGGCAGCAGTACTCCATACAGGATCGAACTTGTGCTTTAAACAGATTTAAAAGCTGTTCAGGTGTGAAGTACCACCTGACCTTGTAAAGTATGCCTAGTTTTCTGGCAGCAGTTTTTAACAAGAACTCGATGTATGCCTTGATGCCCAAAGTTGAGGTTGGATGGTAAGTTCAGACCAAGTAGCTCAAGGTGCCTTATCGAAAGAAGAAAGAAAGTCGGAGTAAGGTGTAGGGGACTCCGTTTTGATGTGAGAAGACACACCTGTGTTTTAGTCGCATTAAACCTGAACCTGGAGCCTTGTTTTGTAATTTACATTCTGCTCTTATAAATTACGCTAACGTATTTGAAATTTAAAACCACGTGGCGACTATAAACTACTTACAGTATTAAATAAATATACCTACATTTAGCTTTAAAACCTTGCTGGCGGCAATGTGATACTCTTATTGAGCAATGTTATGTACACTAGTGACTGCATTCACCGGAATGTTGTTATTACATTGGCATTCATGACAACCTGCAAGTTTTACAACATTGAGACTGTGAATAGGAAAATTTAAACGTTAGTTGGTTTTCTATATAAAATTTAACTATTCCGGTGCGATGTAAGCGCCACTGCAGCGCGGTGCGTATTAACGCCTTTCCCGCTATAACGCAAAACAAGGCCGCTTCTCGTCTCCATCGTGTGTGTGCGTGCTAGCCGCAATAGCATCTTGATGGTCTATTGTTACAGCACCTGATAAAAACGAACAATTATAGATGTAAATTAAATAATATTAACATACTGGCTTGTCTTACCAAGAAGAAGTAAAACATATTATTATTATTATATATTGATCTCGGTTATAGTAATACCTCCATATTACCAAACAGACAGTAACTATAACGTTGCCTACTAAGTAACTGTGTCGTAAGGAGAGA